TATGGTTTAGCTTTATGGGAATCAGTGGAGCTGTGCTGTTTTACATGACAAGAGGATCACACCTTCCGACCTGGTATTTAAACTGAAATAGCATAATTTGTACAGGGTTTGTATGTCTGTTTTAGTCAGTTTTTGATATGGACAAGGGGCAAAAAGCACACACAGATCTTTATTATCATCGCTAATAAGAATCTGAGCTCCAAACTTGATAGTATGTGACTGTGCATAAAATTAACTACATGTGTCTGTTAGCAGATCTGGCTGAAGTTGTGTGTGATTTTGTTCTGCATGCATATTTGTTTTCAGTCATATTTACAGGGGTGCCTCCATCCTGATGCTTCAGTTAACTGTTACTTTGAGGAAATAAACAGAGGTGAAGGTCCAGTCACCTTCAGCTGTTGGAAGCTAATAAGGTGTTAATGAAACATTGGCAAATAGCAGCAGTTTAGCACTCGGTTGACACTTGATTTTTAAAAGAGACAGAGTGTAAATAAGCTGTGTTTGCAGTGAAAATTAAAAAAGTGGGAGGTGGGGGAACAAATAACACTCTCACAGCTTACTGGTTTTAAGCAGGAAACACTTGATAGACCACATCAGGGAGACTAACTCGCATGCCACAGTCACTGGCTGTCAAACAAGACAGGATGGCAAAGGGATCTGTTTTCATACATGCCTTTTTAAGACACTCTTAGAATCATAGAATCATAGAATCATTTAGGCTGGAAAGGACCTTTAAGATCATCGAGTCCAACCATTAACCTAGCACTCCCAAGTCCACCACTAAACCATGTCCCTAAGCACCACGTCTACACGTCTTTTAAATACCTCCCGAGGATGGTGACTCAACCACTTCCCTAGACAGCCTGTTCCAATGCTTGACAACCCTTTCAGTGAAGAAATTTTTCCTAACATCCAATCTAAACCTCCCCTTGCACAGCTTGAGGCCATTCCCACTTGTCCTATCACTTGTTACTTGGGAGAAGAGACCGACACCCACCTCAGTACAACCTCCTTTCAGGTAGTTGCAGAGAG